TCACAAACTTTTTGAAGAACTCTTGCACAATTTTTGTCAATTAAAAACAAACAAACAAGCAGGGGAACTTTCATTTTCCAGGACTTTTCTAGGAGTTTTTGACTTTATAAAATATTCACTTTTTCTACCTAGTCACCTATCTACTCCTAAAATCTTAGGAATGTTTCTGTTCTGCAGCACAGCTAGTGGCATTTAAGTATACCATCAATTTTAAAATTATTTAGTTCAATGTTGGGCGTATTTTCAGACACAACTTTTTACTTATCACTTGATGGATGTACAAGCAAATAATTTCAACTGGGCTAGACTTGACCTGAAGAAATTTCCCTGGTAACCAGTGAGGAAATATTAGTGATTGACCAGTTTGATTCCTTGGAGACAGAAAACCGTTGGCTTCCTCCATAGCACTCCCCCCGCACCTAGCTTACATTCTGCATTTCATCGGTAAACCAGGGGTGAGCAACTACATAAGTGGTGCTTCCAGAGTGCCTGAGGATGCTTGAAAACAATTTGTTCTCTTAAGTGGATTAAATAATTCCTCCCTAAAGATCTCATTACCTGATCCGTTTGTAAAAATTAGCTTTTGCTTCATAGGGAAGGCCATGTAAAGTCTGAGTGTAATTGGTAGCTAAGAGCCAAGCTGCCCAGGCTCAATTAAGTGCCCACCACTTGCAGGCAATGGGGTTTGGGGAAAGTGAGTTCACCTCTCTGTGCCTCTGATCCTCACCTGTAAAATGAGCATAATAACGATCTTCTAAGTTGCTGTGAGGTAGATAATACTTAATGCAGTTTTGGGTACATAGGGAGTGTGTAGTAAATGTTTACCACTATTATATAATCCAAAAGTATCCATATTCCAAAACAAATGCAATTTTTATATCTAAAAATTAATTGGTGTTAAAAAGATGAAAATTATGTGTTTTCATGCTTGTCATAGGGGAAACCAAACTGTTTCTGCTTCAGCTATGTTCCTCTTCTTTCACCCTATTTTACTGTGCAGTTCTTGGCACATAGTTTGTTGAGTGAATGAATGAACTAACTATTAATTGGTTAATTCTTATCTCATCCCTCTAGATGTTTTCCTGCAGACCTTAATAGCCTCAGGCAGGCTGTTTGCTTTGAGAAATAGCCAGTGAAGCGTTAAGAGAAATACTGTGGTTTGTGTTCTGTGTTTGATTCAAACTACAAAATTAATTGCTTATCTACCATCTGCTCTTCATGGATTTTCATTGATCCTTCAGTATGAACCAAAGCTTGTCCGTGTCTTCAAACCAGTAATGTGATGACAGCATTTAGCATTTTAATAAAACAATGGAAATGTGATGTGTGTGTGTGTGTGTGCGCATGCATGCATAAGAGAAAGAGAGGGAAAGATTTTAATTAAGATCTAACTTTTTATTTTTATG